TAGCAAAAGAGATAGACATTCAGCGTTGTTTACATACATAATTTTAACAAATATATATATATATATATATATATATATATATATAAAGGTTAGGAGCTAGAAGTTTCAAATTTGGATAGTTTAGTTACCAGTAACCTCCTCTATCGATTCCCCAAATAATATTAATTAATATCCTGTACTTTTTCATTTTTTGAGCGTGAGCATCCAAATTTTGCAGGTACCGTTAGCTTGTTCTATGAGCTGGCCAAAAATGAAATTTCTATGCCTCTTGGCCAATCGAGAAAAACTGAACTTTCTACAGTATTAGAGCTAAACTTGGGGACTAAATTGCTTTTGGGGTCTAAATGAGTATTCCGCAGTCGGTAACGCCTGACTGCAACGGTTTTACTTGTTTCATTCTGTAATAGCATGATTTTGTCAAATTTAATCCAAAAAAATATATATTTTAGGATTGTGTCTGGTATGGAGTTTGTAATACAGATGCCTTGAATCATAATCAATATTGTTCCTACAATGGCACTCCAAAAGAGATGCCTGAAGATGGACTGAAGTTGTTAACAGAAAGGTGCAGTTTTTTACTTCAAGCAGAGACAAAGAATTTTTGCTGTGACGTCGATCAGGTACTTGTATAAATATTTATTTTTGAAAATACACTAATTTTCTATAATAGGTAAAAATATTGAATGAAAACATTAAACTTGCTGCGGCAATTTTAGAACGTTGCCCATCATGTATGACAAATTTGGCTCGTCATATTTGCGAATTAACATGCTCTCCAGATCAATCAAAATTCTCTAGAGCTGCTGCTACAAAGACAAATGATAAAGGTACTATTATTATTTATTTCCCTTTTTCCCTTTATGTCAAATACAAATTTTAAATTTATTTCAGGTGATCTTTATGTTACTTCTTTGGATTTACACGTAACAGAAGAGTATATCAATAAGACGTATAAGTCATGTTCACAGGTGGGTCATAGTTTAAAGTTATTATTTTAAGCTAAGATTGCCAGATGGAAATCATTTCGAAATCTGTAGTTGATTTTTTTTTGGTTCTTAAGTGTGTTCTCGGAATATTCAGATTGATATCCTATAATTCATAAAATATAAAATACACATCTAGCCCATGCAGCATTACTACTATAGAACACTATCGGAAATATTAGTAATGCTGCATGTAGCTGCAATAAAGCTCAATTTGGAATTTTTTTTTTTTTTAATATTCAAATGTGTGTATTATTTTTAAAAAATATAAAATAATGCGAGTCACCAGCTTTGCTATATGTGATGTGATATAGATATAGCAAAGCTGTAGATATAGAACCAAACCAACGCGAGCGAAATTATGTTTTAGAATATTACGAGTATATATTATAAAGACTAATTGGAAAAAGTACTAATCATTTTTATTTTAGGTATCAGTTCCACAAACCGGTCAATTAGCACTAGATCTAATGTGCGGCGCTTATCCAGCATCACGATGTAGTCCTACAAAGTGGTTCAATTATATGGGGGATGCAAATAATATATATGTTCCATTCCAAATAACATATATTCAACATTCAACAAACTCGACAAAAAATGGGATTACTCCAATCAATCCAAAAACAACTCCCTGTAATGAATCTGTAAATGTAAGTTTCGTTTATGTTTCGTTTTTGTGTACATACAATTTGGTATGCGTTGGCTAAATTTAATTTATTTTAAGGAATTCCTTTTTACCCAAAAAAAAAGGGTTCCCGAAAGATCTGTTTTTTTTTTTTTAATTAAACTTAAAAATATCTATAAACTAAAAATTGTACGCAGCATTCAAAGCTCACAAAAATCGATTAAGATATTTGTTGAAAATAAAAGAGAAACAATTGAGAAAGCCCTAGTCGAGACTGCTCGACAACTAGATTCCCTGAACTGCACAAAGTACTGATATTCCATCATTCTGCACTTCTTTTACATACAAACTCATAGGCACACATATGTATACATGCAGCGACTACGTTTGGGCTGCAGTGTGGCTTATATAGGAGGCTCACTTACATACTATAATTGCTCTTGTAGCTCACTGTGCGCCTTTTAGGTCTACTGTTCTCTTTCGGATAGGAAAGGATATAAACTCCGTCGTATTATTTAGTTAGAAAAAAAGGTTGTACTCTTTTTTATGTTCGTTTTTCTTTATTTATATTATTCTTACCGCTGATTCGCCTGTATAAAAACAGTTCATATCGGCGAGAATAGAACTTCTAACATGGCGTGCATCCGATCAGCCAGTGGCGCTACTCCACTGCTCGAACTGAAAAATCTTTACTGCTGGAGCGCTACATATCAAATATAATGTACAATTAAATATCCAAAAATTGTATTGTATTGTATTCATTTTAATATTTTTAATGTTTCTTTCAGATCGAACTGCCAGCGTGTTCATGTACTGATTGTGATTCGTCTTGCCCTCAATCTCCAGATGAACCGATACCAAAACCATTTAACATTGCAGGACTTGACGCTTTTACAGTTATTATGACTGTCGTGTTTACTGTTGGATCTCTTGTTTTTTTATTGGGAACATTTTTGTTTACGAATGACTCAATAAATGGTAAGTTTTTAGTCCGGCCTGTCCCGAAACAATGAAAATGGAAATTGAAAATGGGAAATCAGGGTATAATGTTTTTGTGTAAAAGTATGTAACAGGCA